GGGGGGGGGGACGGGTGCCAGGTGTTCTCTCAATGTTCCCCCCCACCACCACTGGAACTGGACGGCAGACCGAGGCCCTCGGGTTGGGTTGGGGTGGCTTGGTAGGTGGTGACTTCCAGCCTCAGGATGCGCTCCAGCAACAGGCGCCTCGCCGAGAGAGCGTGCCCCGGGGTGCCCGGGATCGCACCCAGGAGGGGCCGCCAGAGGCCGAAGTGGTGACCCGGTGAGCTCCTCCTCCTCCACCTCCTCCTCCTCCTCCTCCCTCCTCCTCCTCCCTCCTCCTTCTTCCCTCCTCCTCCTCCTCCTCCTCCTCCTCCTCCTCCCCCTCCTCCTCCCCCTTCTCCCCCTCCTCCTCCTCCTCCTCCTCCTCCTCCTCCTCCTCCTACCAGGGGACTTGGCTCCGGGGGGGAAGAGAACACCGAGCCAGAATCGGCGATACATCGCAGATAGGTCGGCGATACAGTCGGGGCTGACTGGAGAGGACACGCGAGAGGACACAAGACCCCTCCGAGGGCCGCACTGCCACAGGAATGTAAGAAGGCAGGGGTCGCCGAGCTCGGAACACAAGGGTGCCCCTCGACTTAGGGGGGTCGAACTACTAATCAGTCTCGCCTGTACTCCCCCGATCGCGAATCCGCACGCTCCTGGGCAGGGCGGGATATCGAGCCCCTATCGGCGATCAATGGGCGACTCGGGGTCGACGGTCGACGCATCCCCCGCTGAGCCTCTCCCTCCCGAACGTTGCCCGTGATCGATGCGCGACTACAGAGGCTCACATGACGAAATTCTTCGACTGGTCCGGGTTTGGCCGTATGCACTGGCAGAAGTGGAGTATCTTCTTCGTGGCGTGCATATACCTCTGCGACACCGGGTCCATGTCGTAGGTATTGAGGCTGTCGCGGTTTCTGCGATATTCCCTCGCTCCCTTCATGGTGCACGCGGCGACGTGGGCCACGTGCGTGAGGTTCCACATCTTGTTCCCGAAAGTAAGCTGCATGTACTTCGCGTGGGCCTCTCCAAGATATGCACTCATGGTTCTGCTCCCAATCCTCCTCAGACCTCCTCTTGACCCTCCCTCCTCCCCCTGCCGATGCTGCTTCTGTTCCTCCTCCTCCTCCTCCTCCTGCTCCTCCGCCTTATCCTGCTCCTCGCAAATGTTCAAGCCCATCCGCTGCATCGTCATCATCATCATCATCATCATCATCATCATCATCATCATCATCATCATCATCGTCATCATCATTAGCAGCAGCAGCAGCAGCAACATCATCATCATCATCATCATCATCATCATCAGCATCATCGTCATCGACGTCATCATCAGCGTCAACATCATCATCATCATCAGCAGCAGCATCATAAACATCAGCAGCACCATCATCAGCATTATCAGCATCATCATCATTACCATCAGCATCCTCATCCTCATCAGCATCAGCATCCTCATCATCATCATCGTCGTCATCATCATCAGCAGCAGCATCATCATTATCAGCATGATTGTCATCATCGTCATTATAATCATAGTCATCATCATCAGCAGCATCAGTATCATCAGTATCATCATCGTCCTCATCATCATCATCAGCAGCATCATCATCATTATCAGCATCAGCATCATCAACATCATCGTCGTCATCGTCATCGTAATCATCAGCATCAGCAGCATCATCAGCACCAGCATCAGCATCGGCATCAGCACCATCATCAACATCATCAACACCATCAGCAGCAGCCGAATCTTCATTATAATCTCCATCAGCAGCATCATCATAATCAGCATCATCATCATCGGCATCATCAGCATTGTAATCGCCATCGCCATCGTCATCGTCATCGTCATCGTCATCATCTGCACCATCACCAGCATCATCATCAGCATTATCATCACCACAACAATACTCATCATGAGCATCTACCATAATTTGCATCTTTATCATCTTACTCTTCATACGCAGCATCATCACCAGCCGCATTGTCATCCTCATCCGTCTAAGCAGCATCATCATCATCACCACCACCAGAATCATCAGCAGCAGCAGCAGCAGAAGCGGCAGAAGCAGCAACATCATCTTCGGCAGCAGCAGCACCACCATCATCATCATCATCATCATCATCATCATCATCATCAGCATCATCATAGTCATCATCACCGCCACCATCATCATCATCATCATCATCAGCAGCAGCAGCAGCATCTTCAGTTTCAGCATCATCATAAGAATCAGCATCATCATCAACAGCTGCATCATAATCATCATCATCATCATCATCCTCATCATCACCATATCATCATCATCATCATCATCATCATCATCATCATCATCATCATCATCATCGTCATCATCATCATCATCATCATCATCATCGTCATCATAATCATCGTTGTCGTCGTCACCGCCATCGGTGTCGCCGTCGACGTCACCATCATCACAATGAACAAAATAAGTAGCATTAACGTCATCATCACCACCATTGTAATATGAGGCATCATCAGCATACCATCACCCGCATAATTAATCACAATGCTCGCCATCACCGCCACTGCATAGTCACCCGCAGCATCATGATATTGCTTCACCTCGCCACGTACTGCATCCAGTGCGCGAAGGCTCAATAGTGGCCGCGCGTGTAACATAAACAGGTGCGGGTCGTGGATGGAGGACGAGGGCGAGGAAAAACAAAATCACTTTAGGAGTCGCACCGTCGCTGCGAGCCCACCCAGGTGGTCTCAAAGGTCGAGCACGGCGAGGCCGACGACGGAGGCGAAGCAAATGAGGGAACCGAAGACCCAGACCTCCGACGATTCGATCTGTTCGAATCGCTGGCCCCCGGCTCTCTCCGCCCCGTCCTGCAGCCATTTGTTTTGTCTGGGGGGGGGCTCCAAACCGGTGCGGCGACAGACCGTGTGGGGATTGAATGGAATTCCCAGCGGCCTCACCGCAGGGTCCGTCACCGCACCGTTTCGGGACCCTGAAAGCCGGGGGCCCCGATCGCCCGAAACGTCCTCGGAGAACGACCCGAGCCCCAAAACCGTGCGGTCACCCCGGATCCCTGCCGACTCGCCACACGGCGTGGCCACCACACCGGTGCTGGACGGTCCCGAGCACGGCGCTCGGACTGTTCGGCGGACTCTGGCCCTGGCGATCGTCGTAGGGCAGAATCCGCCGAGCAAACCGAGCGCGGCGGGGGTCATGCTGCGCAGACTCTGCCCTTGGCGATTCGCCGGAGGCTGACTCGGCCCAACAGAAATCTCGGGACAGTTCTGATCTGGCGGCGGCCAGGCATGCGCCACGGCGCTGAGCTCTCCCGAACAAGCGTCGGCCCTGACAATCGTCAAGCAGCGAGCGCCTTGTGGCCGAAGCGTTGAGCGGAGTGCCACACGTACTGGGTCGACAGGCGAGAGTGAGCTCGCCCGCCTCCGAACGGTGCGGAAAGCGGGTTACTACGCCTCCCTCCCCTGATGCGTAGCACAGTATAGTGACTCCATCTCTGGATCGAATGGGGATCGCGGAGGTCTTTTGAAAATGCTGAAGGGCCCGACACGCTCAACATCAATCTCTGAAAACCTCCGGAAGGTGAGCGGCGCCTGGCCAAAAGCGCCCCGAGGGCGTTCCCGTGCGTGCCCGCTCGCACGCGGCAGTCATGGGCCCGCCCCGAGGGCGCTTTCGTACGTGCCCGCTCGCACGCGGCGCTCTCTGGCCCGCCCCGCTGGCGCTCCCGTGTCTGCCCGCTCGCACGCGGCGCACACTGGCACGTCCCAGCGGCATTTCCGCGCGCGCCCGCTCGCACGCGGCGCTCTCTGGCGCGCACCCACGAGCGTTCTCGTGCGCGCCCGGCTGCACACGGCGCACTTCTGGCGCGCCCGAAGGCACTTCTGCGCGCGCCCGCTCGCACGCGGCGCACTCTGGCGCTCTGGCGCGCCCCGGGGGATTTCACGAGCGCGCCCGCTCGCACGCGGCGCTCATGGCGGCGCCACGAGGGCCCCAGGCGCCCCCGCTTCTAGCCCTCCCCGAAGGCGCGCCCGCGCGTGCCCGCTCGCACGCGGCGCACTCTGGCGCGCCGCGCGGGCTCTCTCGCGCGCGCCCGCTCGACCGCGGCACAGTCTGTCAGGTCCCGACGGCACTTCCGCGCGCGCCCGCCAGCGCGCAGCGCTCCCTGGCGCGCGCTCCACGGGCTGTCTCGTGCGCCCCCCCTCGCACGCGGCAGCCATTGGCACGCCCTGAGGGCGCTCTCGTGCGTGGCCGCTCGCACGCGTTGCACTCTGGCGCGCCCCGCGGGCTCCCTCGCGCGCGCCCGCTCGCACGCGGCGCATTCTGGCGCGCCCCGAAAGTGGTTCCGCGCACGCCCGCCGCTCGCACGCGGCGCTCTCTGGCGCGTCCCGAGGGCGCTCCTGCGCGCCGCTCGCACGCGGCGCTCCTTGCGGATACTCTCGTGCAGCCCTCAGCTTGCCCAGTGTGGCGCTGGCGTGGCGACTGCAGCTGACGTCTTTTCATGCGCCGACTGACTACCTACCAGACCACCCCAACCCAACCCGAAGACCCGAATTTCGGGTTGGGGGGGGTATGGGCTCCATAGGTGTTTTTTCGATGTTCCCGGACCCCCCCCCCCAGTAGAAATCGAGGGTAAATCTGAGCCTTCGGGTTGGGTTGGGGCGGTGTGGTGGGCGGCGACCGACCTCGGCGCGAGACACGGGCCTCGCGCCGCGCGCCGACCCCCAGCGCAGCGCACGGCGCCCCAAAGCTCGGCGCCGACCCTGCGAGGCGCGCGAGCCTCCGCCGGCACGCGCGCGAGGAGCGCCGCCCGTAGGAGAGCGAGGAGGGGCTGCCTGGCGCCGCGCGCCGACCCGCAGCGCGAGCGAGCACCGCGGCCGCGGCCTGGCGCCTGCCCGTGCAGCCCCCCCCCCCCCCGATGGCCCTGGTTTCCACCACCACCACCATAAGTTGGAGGGGGAGGGGGTCGTCCTCCTCCACCACCTCCTTCTCCTCCTCGTCCTCCTCCTCGTCCTCTACCTCCTTCCCCCCTCCAGCTTATGGTGGTGGTGGTGGAAAACAGGCCCATCAGGCCCCCGCGTGGTGGTTGCGGAGCGATCGCTCGCGTGCGCGACGCCGCTGCGACGTACTCCAGATGTCGTCAGAAAAGGGAGGGGGTCTGGACCCTCCAAGACAAGCCGTTTCAGACCTCCCCCGTGGGAGGACCCTCCAAAACATCGTCCCCAGACCCCCCCCCCCCCCCGAAATGAGACCCCCCTCCCTTTATTACGAAATCTGGAGTAACCGCCGGGGCGCCCGCGCGCACCCCGCACGCCACTGCAGCCGCGCAGCGACGCGCCGTCCCGCCAGGCGCGCCGCGCCGGCCGCCGCGCGACCCCCGCTTGCCGAGAGCGCTGCTGCCGACGCCGCCACGCGAGGAGTCATCCCGCGCGCGCTCGAGCGCTCGAGACTCGCGCGCGGCACCGGAGTGGCGCCACGCGGCGACCCCAGCGCGGTATACCTTGCGCTCCGAGGTTGGACCTCCCATGCGACGCGGACTTGGAGGCACAGGTCGCAAAACACAAGACGCACGGGTACCCTCGATTTAGCAGGACCGACCTGCCTACGAATCAAGGCCGACTGTAAGGGAGCGCAGGGTGGCCAAATCCGAGCGCGAAAGCAGCCGCTACCGCATCGCGCTCAGCGATCGGGGGGACCCCGGTGAGCCCGATACATCGCCCATGCATCGTCGATGCAGACCGCCCCATGCATCGTCTGTACATCGTCGATGCATGGCCATGAGATCAGCGATGCATCGTCCATGCATCGTCGATGCATCAACCATTCGAGGTCGATGCCTCCCCCCTATATGTCCGTCCCCCCCTACCCTTGCCCCCCGACCGACGACCCCGAAGCTGCTCTGCTCGCAAGCGGCGCCACGTCGTGATCCCCAGCTTCGGGCGCCCGGTCCCGCGCCCGCCCCGCCGCTGGAGCCGCGCGCGTCTGGTGTGAAGTCGAGCTCGGCTTCGGCACAGACGCACGCAGCGCCCCCCCTGCGGTCAGACACGTGCACTGTCGGGGGTGCGGGCGGATATCCCTCGGCTCTGCGCCGGGCCCCCCCACCTGGCGCGCGTGAAGCGCGCGGAGGTCGGCGCCGGAGGCGCCGCCAGGGAGGGGGGCCTCGGCGCAGATCCGAGAGATCCGCGCGGAGCTCCGAGAGAGCTCGCGGTTGTGGCGCTGCCTCGTCCTCCAGCTCCGCCGAGGGCCCTCCGAGAGTTTTTATGCTCATGCCGTCGTCTCGTCTTCGATCTGTCTTACGCCAGGCCCCGCCCAGGTCGCCTTCTGATAGTCCATGTCGTGAGCCGCGGTCGCGATGATCATCAAGGAGCTGAGCACGTCCTGCCGCCCAGGGGCCGCTGCGGAGACGGAGTCGGCTCCTCGCCTCACGCCCGCGTCGTTTCCTCCTCTTCAAGACTTTGTTCTCCTCCTGAAGGCGCAACAGTGAAGCTCACACACGCGCACCCGTCGCCACTTGACCGACAACAACAAAAGGGTCTTCCGCAAGATGACGGAACGACCTCACGCCACGGCTTACACGGGCCGCCAGCGTGACACACCGCGTAGAGACCAGGGAACTTACGCGCAGCCTTCCACGGGAAGGCTACGCGCGAATGTCGGCGCATTCGACCCCGCTTTCTTCCGTCGCTCACTCGTACCAAGATCTCCGATCATATGTTTTGTTTAATGGGGGCATTCTCCCTCGACGTCGGCTCTGTGGGCCGTCATCGGGCCCCAGGACCAGAAAGAATGGATCCGTGGCGATAACCCAGCCCTGGGGATGGCTGTGGGACCTGAGGGGCGGCGCGGTGACAAAAAGAGATCGGCGGATGTCTCTGGATCGGTGGCGATCGAATCAGAGTTCCTACGGAAATGTGGCACGTAATGGAAAGGCCCCGCTACAGTACCAGAAGTTCTGCCCACGTCCCTCCTCCGCCTTCCTCCCCCCGCAGGACAGCCCCTGTGACAGCCCCTCCTCCTCCTCCCCTCCTCCTCCTCCTCCTCCTCCTCCTCCTCCTCCTCCTCCTCCTCTCCTCCCTCCTCCTCCTCCCCTCCTCCCCTCCTCCCCCTCCCCCTCCTCCTCCTCCTCCTCCTCCTCCCCCCCTCCTCCTCCTCCCCTCCTCCTCCTCCTCCTCCTCCTCCCTCCTCCTCCTCCTCCTCCTCCTCCTCCTCCTCCTCCTCCTCCCCAGAATCGGATCGACCTGTCGGATCGGCGATCGAGGTGAATCGGATCGGCGGACATCGGCAGCCAAGTCGGGAGAAGTGGGGTCGGCAGGAGGCCTCCGTGGAGAATTCGGAACCCAATGTCGGAACCCGAAGGCGAGCCGAATCGGAATCGGAAGCCATCGAAATCGAATGGTAATCGAACCGGAGGAATCGCAACGATAGAAAAATAACAAAAAAAAGTCCAGCGCGAGTCCAAGAGAAAACGCTCTGCGCGGATTTCTGGGACTCGCGCTGGACCCCCCCTCCCTGGCGCGCGGAGGCGCCGCCAGGGGGGGGGGGCCCGCGCAGAGCCAGGAAATCCGCGCGGAGCGCCACAAGTTCCTGTCGATGTGGGGGGGCTCCGTCCTCGGAGCGAGCCCCGGCCCCCTGTGCCTGCGCCCTCCGTGGGCGGTGGCCCTGCACGGATCTGTGCGCAAGAGAGCGGCGCCCGGTGTAGACGAGACCCCGGTTTATACATTTGCCCATGCTTCCTGGGAAAACGGGAAAACAAAGTACGACTACCTACCAGACCACCCCAACCCAACCCGAGGACCCGAATTTCGGGTTGGGGGGGGTAAGGGTTCCACATGTGTTTTTTCTATGTTTCCCGACCTCCCGCCCACTGGAAATCGAGGGTAAAGCTGAGCCTTCGGGTTGGGTTGGGGTGGGTGGTGAGTATACACTACACCTCCCCGACGTCGCCCCCGACCCTCAAAAAAGTCCTGGGATTGGAAGACGGCCCGCCACTTGCAATGTACAGGCTCCAGTTTCCTATCGGCGGTGGACAAACCCCCGTTTAGTAAACCTCCCCTGAGTGAAAACGGCCTAGGACCGAAACCAGCGGACCGGGATCCGCAAAAAAATGGCGCCCGCGGCGCCCTCTCGCGAGCCGGAAGCGGCCGATTCGCTCATCGACGTGTCGGGGCAGGAGGTCCGTCAGCCTCCGACTCTGGCTGGAGGCGGGGCAAGCCCACGGCGGCGTCCGCGGAGGAGGGGGGGCGGGGCCTGCCCCCCCCCCCTCATCAGGGCCCCGTAGACCCGCACACGCTAGACCCGGACACCCAACATCCCTCGAAACCGAATCTTCCAAACGGCGGCACGAGCAAAGTACTGCACCGCAGCATCTCCAGAACAAGCCCGGACACGGGCCTCAAGAGCCTGCAGGACCCCCCTAAACACCCAGACGCGTTTTTTGGTCGGCGGGGCGAGAGCGAACCTCTGCCGGTAAAAGCTGGGCGGGCTACGCACAGCTCTGATTGGGGAGACAGGGCACAGGCGGGCGGGGCCTCAAACAAAAAAAACCAGACACAGGAGTTCTGGTGGTATGGTGGCCCTGCTTTTGCCCTCGGGATCGACGGCCCAGAGCTGGCCCTGGCCTCGTTTCGCCGGGCGCTCGGCCGAGGCTGGCCCCGGGCCCGCGGAGGCCGGCGGGCTGGAGAGCTGAGCCCCCGATGGTGGGCCTGTCTTCCACCACCGCCGCAAATTTGAGGGGGAAGGAGGTGGAGGAGGAGTAAGATGGAAAGGACTTCTTCTTGCAGGAGAGGATGTCGCCGCCTCGGTCTTCCGTGTCCCGGTTCCTTCCGCGCCCTGGCCTCCGGGGGCCTGGGACCCCCCCCCCTCCGCCCGGCCCGCCCGGGCGTCGGCACCCGCCCCGCCTGGCCACGGCGGCGCTCCCGCGGCCGGGGGCAGGGCTCGGGGCGGGCGGGGTCCGGTGGGGCCTGTTCCTCCTCCTCCTCCTCCTCCTCCTCCTCCTCCTCCTCCTCCTCCTCCTCCTCCTCCTCCGGGGGCAGGGCTCGGGGCGGGCTCGGGTCAGGTCGGGCCTGTCCCTCTGCAGGGGGGGGGCCTCTTCCAGAAGAGTCCAAAAGAATCCTCTGGGGACGCCTTTTTTGGCACACGTGTGGCCGTGTTCGAACATCTTGGGGGTGCGTTTCAGCTTTCCTCGCAAATCCGCCCGTAGGGGGACACGCCCGACGTAAGAGCAGGGGGCAGCCTGGCGGCTGCTCTTCAGCAGCGCTGCAGGGCGAAGGGGGGAGAGGGGAGGGGGGGGGGAACCCAGAGAAAAAAACATCTCGCTCGATCTCGCGGGCTGCCTTCTCAGAACAGTTCGCGGGCGAAGAACGGTATGAGATTCGCCGGCCCAACGGGCCAGAGGCGTGCTAAAATCTCTGGCAACTGCTTTACAATAATTCTACTTAGCGCGCGCGGGGCGGCCCCTGGGGGTCCCCGGAAGAAAAGCACCCCGGGGCGAAGCCCGGGCGCTGCGGGTCAGAGATGGCTTTCCTCCTGGGCGCCGCCCTCGAGGCCGTCCAGAGAGCCCTAAGAAAAGCCAAGAGGCCGCCAAGAGCCCCTCGAGATGCTACAAGAGAGCTCCGAGGTGCCACAAGATCGCTCCAAGACGCACGAGATGCCCCCCAGACGGCCCAACACGCCTCCCAGAGCACTCTCAAGAGGGCCCCAAGAGACAAAATTCATTGTTTTTCCATAGGTTTTGGAAGGACTGTGGCGTTTCCACCTTTTCGGCTTCCCGACACCCCGAGACGGCCCAAGAGGCCCCCAAGACCGCCCCAAGAGGGCACAAGAGGCCCCCAAGAGGGCTCAAAGACGGCCCAAGGGGGCTCCGAAACGGCCCAAGAGGCTTCCAAGACGGCCCAAGAAGGCCCCAAGAACGCCACAAGAGAGGCCCCGAGGGGGGAACATGAATCAACATTTCGGGTTCCCGGCCCTGAGAAGGCCCAAGGAGCCCCCAAGAGGCCCCTAAGAGACCCCAAGACGCCCCCAACAGGCCCTCAGGAGGCCCCCAAGCGGCCCCAGGAGGGCCCCAAGAGGCAAAATGCATTGCTTCTCGTTAGGTTTTGGAAAGATTATGGTGCTTCCACCAAGAGGGTTCCAAGACGGCCCAAGAGGCCTCCAAGACGGCCCCAAGAACGCCCCAAGAGAGGTCCCAGGGGGGGAACACGAAACAACATTTCGAGCCCTCGGCCCTAAGAAGCCCCCAGGAATCCCCAAGAGGCCCCTAAGAGGCCCAAGAGGGCTCCAACAGGCCCTCAGGAGGCCTCCAAGAGGCCCGTAAGCGGCCCCAGGAGGCCCCCAAAATGTCCCCCCGAGCACGCAAGCAAGTGCCAACGACCCGACGCGTTTAAGAGTCCCCAAGAGGCCACCCAGAGGCCTCCCGAAAGAGTCCCCACAGGCAAAACGCTTCCAGACGGCCCGCGACGCGCTCAAGACTCCCCCGGCGGCGGAATGAGCGAAGCGATTCGATAAACTGTTCCGTCGCTGGGGGCGCCTGCCCCAGGGCGGCTGGAAAGTTTGTACCTTGACGTGCCACCCTAAGGGTACAAACTTCCCAGCCGCCCTGGGGGCAGGCGCCCCCGACGGCGAAAACGAAAGAGTGCATGCTATACCGATGAGGACGCGGGGGGGGGCCTTGGGCGCCCACGTCCGAGCTTTTCGAGCGGGGCGCGGCCAAGGAAAGTGGCCAGGGGTGGACCGAGGAGGCCGAAGGGGCCCCAGGACACAACTAAACACACACAGATCACAGGATTCCCCAGATGTTCTATGTATATGTTCTGGGCTTTTGCCTTCCCCCTCCACTTCCCATAGTTTCCCACATGTTCCTGGGGATCGGCGATGAAATTGTGCCTGTGTGATGTTCCCCCTCCTGAGAGGCAAGGCTGCGAGGGCAAGGATGCAAGGGTCTCCTTGGGTTCAGTCGGGCCTGTCCCCCTACAGGCCGATTTTGGACGAAACATGTTGTTATACAATATATATAATATATAAATAAATATAAATATATATAGCTAAATGTATATATATGTATATATGTGTATATATGTGTATATATATATATATATATATATATCAAAACAAAAAAAAAAAAACATGTTTTGAATATTCCTCCTGTAGAATATTCCTCCTGTAGAGGGACAGGCCCGACTGGAGGCAAGGCTGCAGAGGGCGTCCTCGGGAGGGCTGCCCGTCCCGAGCAGGCGGGCCGACCGTCGGAGGAGCCCGCCGGCGGCCCCCCGCGCGGCACGCCGGCCGTGCAGACGGAGGAGGGCAGGCCGGCCAGCGGAGGTTGGGAGAAGCCTTGCGAGTAACAAGACATGCAATCATGGTATGAAACAGCATCACCAGCAGCATCATCATCAGCGCCACCAGCATCATCAGAATCAGAATCAGAATCAGAATCAGAATCATCATCATCATCATCATCATCAGCATCAGCATCATCATCATCATCATCATCATCATCATCATCATCATCATCATCATCATCATCATCATCAGCATCATCATCATCATCATCATCATCAGCAGCATCATCATCATCATCATCATCATCATCATCATCATCATCATCAGCATCATCATCATCATCAACATCGTCATCCTCAGCATCACCAGCATCAGCAGCATCAGCATCACCAGCAGCATCATCACCAGCATCATCAGCATCATCAGCATCAGCAGCATCAGCATCAGCATCATCATCAGCAGCATCAGAACATCATAAAACAGACTGGCAGTAATCATAATCAGCATAATAAGTATAATAGTGATAATAATCATGCTTGTCATTGTTATAGATTGTGCCCTGACGATTTCAAGACTGTTCTTGGATATTCTTCCTGCTGAGGGACACGCCCGAGCCAAGAGGCGGACGACCACAACGTGGTCCGCGGTCGCGATGACCGCCAACATGGCGCCGAGCAGACGGGTGCTTTTGCAGCGGAGAGCACGGGCTCCGCGCCCCGCTCCTCCGCCCCCCCTGCCCCCCCCAAGGATCGAGGCTCGAGAATCGACGCCCGAGGCCTCGCTCCTCCGCCCTTCCTGCCTCCCCCCCACAAGGATCGGGGGCTCGAGAAGCGACGCCCGAGGATCGAGGCTCGAGCATCGGGGCAGGAGGTCTTGGCGTTGTGGGCCCCTCCCTGGGGCCCCCGGAAGCCTTCGGGGGGAGGTCTTCCGGGGACCTCCATCGAGAATCGGCGCCCGAGGATCGAGGCTCGAGGATCGGGGTGGGAGGTCTTGGCGTCTTTGGCCCTCCCTGGGGCGCCCTGAAGCCTTCAAGGCCGGGGACCTCCAGCGACTTCCGGGAGCCTCCTCCTGAGGGCGGGCTTCTCGAAAGGCTCGGAAGTCGCCCTGCATTGCCGAGAAGCTTCCAAAGCCTTCCCGAAGACACATAAAACTCCTCAGAAGGCCCGAGGGTTTCTGAGAAGCCCCGCCGCCTTCGGAGAGGTTTCCCGCGTCTTCGCGGAAGGCTTAGAAAACGTATCAGAAGGCCGGGGGGCTTCGTAGCCTTCTGGGCAGGCCCGCCCCTGCTCACTGCCCCCCTCACTCGCCGCCGAGGCCTGATGCCCAGTCTGTGATGCTTGGCCAGTCAAGCAGTATCGAGGGCAACCTGGAAGGTATCAGGAGGACAGTTCAGTCTGACTGCACTCGCGCCCAGCCCAGGGACACGAAGGAGTGACGGCACAGGCCTGCCGATATGCCCCAAGGGGGGAAACGCGTGCAAGTTGCGGTGGTGCCTGGAGGGGCTGGGGCGGAGGAGGCCTCAAACTGGAAACCAGGTCGGTCGGGCACGTCCTCCCACAGGCGGATCTTGGAAGGAAAATCAAGCATACCCAACACAGATTCAAAACGTAGCCAGATGTAGTCGAACAGTCGTTTGAGTACTCCTCCTGCAGAAAAGGGCATGCCCGACTTAAAACTGGAAGGGGGCTTTGACACCCTGGCGCGCGCCGCCGAAGGCAAGGACCCCCCAGGTTGAGGCCCAGTAACACGACTGGCGTGCTGACCCCACCCCCCTTCGCGACAAGGGGTGCGTCGCGCGTTCGTCGCCCGTGCGCCGCCCGTGCGTCGGCCGCCGAAAAGGCCGGCCGTCCTCGCGAACGCGCGCGTCGCCCTCGCAAGGGGGGCGATGGGGGGACCCCCCATCGCCCCTTCGTCGCCCATCGGGGGCCTGGGCGCAGCACCAACCTCGGCGGTGGACAGACCTCCCCTTAGCAGACCACCTTTGAGCGCAAACACGGCCCAGGACCGAAGCCGACGGACCTGGACCCGCAAAGACAACGGCCGCGGCGCCCTCTCGCGAACCGAAAACGGCCGAAAGCTCGAAATTCAGCGGTGGCGACGAGGGCCTCCCAGGAGGCCCAAAAAGGGAAAACGAAGGAAGGGCAGTTCCTCCTCCTCCTCCTCCTCCTCCTCCTCCTCCTCCTCCTCCTCCTCCTCCTCCTCCCCCTCCTCGACGTGCCCGGGCAGGAGGCCTGGCAGCCTCCGACCACCGCGACCGGGAGCCCGCGCGCCCTCGCCGCGCGGGGGCCCGCCGCGCCAGCTCAGCCCGCGCAGCGGAGCCCAGGCCGACGCGCGCCCGCCCAGCGGGTGCACGCTTTCTTGCCCGGCGTCTCGACACTGGGCTTGGGTTATGTCGGGCGTGTCCCCCTACAGGGGATTTTCGACGAAAACAAATACCCAAACAAAACCCCAAGAAGGCCAAAAAATACTCAAAAAATAATCCCCCGACTATGTTTGGACTATTTTTTCATTTTTCGTCGAAAATCCCCCTGTAGGGGGACAGGCCCGACTTAAGCGGCTTGGGTCGGGCATGCCCCCCTGCAGGCGGATTTCGGGCGCAAACTAAAAACACCCAAAAAATATTCAATGCCCAAAAATTAAGAGAGGAAAAAAAACACCCAACAAATATTCAAACATGCATTAAAAAGAAAAAACTCCAGGGAATGTGTTTGGACTATGTTTGAATATTCTCCCTGTAGGGGGAGAGGCCCGACTCAACATTGGGCGGAGGGGGGGGGGGAGTCTGGCTCCGGACCTCTGCTTGATGCGACTGTTTGCAGCAGTGCGCCCTGTGGAGGTAGGGGAGACCCCAGCTGCTTGAAACAGGCGCCAAATACAACCAAGATTTACTCCAAATCCCTTATTAATCGTCCCCCGGGTCCGGTTTTTTAAGGCGCCTTTTTTGTAACTGGGGGGGTCCGATTTATTAGGGCGCTTTCTTTGGATTGGAGCTTAGGGGGTCCAGTTTAGTAAGGCGCCCCGTCGAAGAGGGGGGTCCGGAATATTGGGTCGCATTTGGAGGGGGGTCCGGTTCTTTAGAGGGGGGTCGATTAATAAGGGATTTGGAGTACTCCATGCGTGGGGGGGGGGAGTGCGAGGGCCCGCGCCCATCGGCAACACAATGAACATAGGACACACGATCGCTATCGAGGGCCCGCCGCCGGTCTTCACGGCAGATCCCAAGCCAACGCGTCCACCCATGGGCGGTTCCTCCCCCCTACCCACTTCTTGGGCGCCCGAGCTATCCGGGGTAACTCGGGTCCGGGGTAACTCGGGCTTGGACTCCCGAAAAAGGAACCCGAGATAGCCCTGACCCGAGTTACCCCTGATGATGTGGGGCTCTGGACGCCCGAGTTATCCGGGGTAACTGGGGTCCGGGGTAACTCGGGTTCGGAATCCCGAAGAACGAACCCGAGTTAGCCCTGACCCGAGTTACCCCTGATGATTCGGGGCTCTGAACTTCCCTTCTGGGCTGGCCGCCGATTGGCGGGCAGGCGGGCTGACGCTTGGTTTGCCTGCTCGGTCGGCTACTCGGTTGGTCGGCTGCGCTGCTCGAGCAGCTCACCGAGAGGCCACGGCCTCCACGCCGCGCACAGCTTGACAGGCACGGGCGGGCTCCCCATCGCGACTCCGGCGCTCCGCGTCCCTTCGCTTCCCTCCTCGTCCTCCTCCTCCTCCTCCTCCTCCTCCTCCT